TTCCAGAACTCCCCCTCAGACTCTGGTTAGTAATTATTGTGCACATGGAAATAAATACTTCAAAACATCTAGAAGAAAGGACTTGGAATGTTTGCCTGAAAGAAATAGATGTTTAAAGTGATGGATATACCAATTACCATTACTTGATGATTTTTCAACACATCAGTGTATAGAGACATCACCCTGTACACTATATCTGTGGAATTATAGATCAATTAAAATTAACGCAAAAATAGGATAATTGTATTAGATGCATTTATAGGCCAAATTTTCAGAAACTGACTATGGACTACAATTTGTTTTCAAAATCCTACAGTCTTTACAAGGGATGATTCCCATACAATCGTGCAAGAAAACCAACTGTCTTTTCCAATCCCTGAAATCTATTCAATTTAAAAATGGTTTTTTCTTTTTTTAATAGCTAATAAACACATCTCCCAAACCAAGATGAGTCTCCCTGCATCATGACAAAGCAGCTGTCACATTACTGTCCTGTCACAAAGAAGTCCTGAACCAAGAACTCTGCTCAGGAGGCCTAAGGATGCTACTATAATATGTTTCTAACAAAATGGAGGGGTCCCGTATGCTCCGTGGAAACCACCACCTGCATTACCAGAAAGGATGGCTATGCCACCCATGGAGGGGGGAGGATCACATGGAACACACTCCTAACCACAGCCCTGTGTGTGGTTGTGTGTGGCTTGCAAAACACTTCTATGTCTGCTGTCTCGCCATGCTCACACAGAACTTTGGTAAGCAGCAAAGACCTGATTTACAGATGCAAACTCTGGGCTTGGCAGGTAATGCTTATTCCTCAGAGTCACTAAATTGGAAAGCAGCAAAATCAGGACACACTAGTGCTAGTTCCTATAACACCCCACACTGCCTTTCCAGGCACAGGAGACCTCCCTCACCCCAACAGGGAGTCTCGTTGGCTCCCTCTTAGCCCTTGTTTATTTGTCTCTGTTCATTCATCTGTGTTTGTTATGCCATTGAGTTGGATGAGTTTAAAAGCAGACTGTGGCTGTTACCACTGTTTGTCAAACACTGCTATTTAGAGCAGGCCGGGACAGGCAACAGCCCGAGTTCTCACAGTCATTCTGAGCAGTACAGAGGACAAGCAGAGGGAACAGCAGTTCTTGGCATCTAGATGCTCCTGCAAATTTGTGTTTTCTGTGGACAGGTTGCTCTTCCACAGAGGTAACTCTGTTCTATTTCATGTTTTTCTGTAGAAGCTCACAGTGATGAAAATGATGTCATCATCCTCAGAGGTCTTTCTAACTCTAACTACTATTTCATTTCAGTCTTTCAAGTCAGACATCTTTCCATGCTCTGAGTTTTCTGTCAGGATACTTGTGTCTCACATTCCACCTGCATTTCCATCTTCTTCTACACAAATATTGTGTGGAGGAATTATATTGTGTGATAGAAGTTTCCATTTACTAAGTGCCTATTTGTTAACTACTATGTGTATTAGTTACTTTTCTGTTGCTATGATAGAAATGCCATCACAAGTGTGTTGGTGTCCTGAAATGACGAATTCAAGCTCAATACAACTGTAGCACACCCCATTCCACAACCGAAAGAGGACCTAGGCACATCCAGCCCCTCCTGTCCTACTGCCTCCTCACTCCAAGCCTTCAAAAGAAAACAAAACTTATAAAACTTATAAAAGGAAGTGTTTATTTAGCTTATGGTTCCAAAGGGGCACGAGTGTGTTATGGAGGGGAGGCATGGCAGCAGAGGTGCCTGGGGTAGGAGCAGAAGCTAAGCTTTCACATCTTCAAGCAAGCACAGGAAGCAAGAGAGGGACTAGAGATCTGGCAAGGCTTAAGATCTCTCTAAGCCTGCCCCCAGTGATGTGTTTCCTCCAGCATGGCCACACCTTCTAAGACCTCCCAAAACAGAGCCACCAACTGGGGACAGACTGTCCAAATACTTGGAGCCTATGGGGGACATTCTCACTCAAACCACTACACTATGGTAGGCATTAATTTTTTTTAACATTTATTTATTTGTTTGCTGTGCACATGCATGTTATGGCAGGAGTATGGACGCCAGAGGACAAGTTGCAGGGGTTGGCTTTCTCCTTCTACCGTATGGGTTCTGGAGAGCAAACTCAGTCATCAAGAACTAAGTAAGTACCCTTACCCAAGCACTGAGCCATCTTGCCAGTCCTGGCATTTTATTTATCATATATTATTTCAAATGCCCCCAAACTCTACAAAGCCAAGCTCCTTCAATACTTTACAGATAAGGAAACTGAAGACTGAGTCCAGATCTTGCAGTAGTGGCGGTAGAGCTGGTACTGTGATACAGATCCACCTGGCTTTGAAGTCAAGGTTTTCTCCCATATAGAACATGTCAGTAAAGGGCGAGGGGTGGTATAAGCAAGGCATATGTAAAATGAAAATGTCATGATGAAACCTATCATTTTGTATGCTAATCAAAAATGTTTTTAAGGTAATTAAAATCCATGGATGAGTAAATGTTAAAAAAGAATGCTTATTGAGAAGGCTGGAGAGATACCTCAGTGGTTAAGAGCACTGGTTGCTCCTGCAGAGGACCTGGGTTTGGTTCCAGCACCCATGTGGTGGCTAACAACTGTCTGTAACTCAGATTCCAAAGGATCTGACACTCTCTTCTGGCCTCTGCAAGTATCACAAGCATGTGGTGCATGTACATACATGCAGGCAGAGCACTCATGCACATAAAATAAAAATAAATAATTCAAAAATCTTTAAAAGAATGCCCATAGGAAATACACCTACAGAAAGAAGGTATTTGGTAGGATCATGTATTTGAGCAGCCAGTGCCACACTCTTCCTTGTATCTTAACAGGTGTGTTGGTGTCCTGAAGTGACGAATTCAAGCTCAATACAACTGTAGCACACCCCATTCCACAACCGAAAGAGGACCTAGGCACATCCAGCCCCTCCTGTCCTACTGCCTCCTCACTCCAAGCTTTCAAAAGAAAACAAAACCCATATGATCCCTCAGGTCTAGAAAGTAACTTTTATTTTGACTCAAGAACTCCTGGCAGTTACTAATTTTATGAAAATACAAGTGGCAAAAGAGAGATGATTCTATTTCTCTCCAATATAAATTATGAGTTAGACTCAGCCACTGGCTTGACATTGTAAGATTCTTTGAAAAGACTGAGGGAACTTTGATTTCCATAAAATTGTTTTAAAAAGCAGCAAAAGAAAAAAAAATAAAATCGCAACTGAAAATATTGCCCAGGATATGCTACTATACATTTTTCTGACGTGCTTACAGGCCAGACCCCAAGCTTTGGTACTTTAAATTTTTTACTTATTTATTTTTATTTTATGTGTATGAGTGTTTTGCACGCATGTATGTGAGTGTACCTGTGTGGAATGCCTATGGAGGCCAGAAGAGAGTGTGGGATCCCCTAGGAATGGAGTTACAGACAGTTTTTATCCACCATGTGGGTGCTGGGAACTGAACCTGGGTCCTCTGCAAGAGCAGCCAGTGCTCTCAACCATTGAGCCACTGCTCCATTGTTTTGGTATTTTAAAGAAATGTGTGGATAGTGTCCCACATTGATTTGTGTTCATTATACAGAATAAATTCACTGCTTTTTTTTTCAAAAGATGGGATAAAATGAAACATGACTATTTCAAATAAAATACAACTGCCATTCATTTATCTAATTGCAACGTTAAAACAAAAACACTTTTATTAAAATATTTAATACCAGAATAACTTATAATAGTATGAAAAAGAGTGAAGTATTTGTCCTTGGTTTTCACTGCCGTTCTCAGGTTTCAGCAAAACTGTTCTGTGATGACTCCAAAGTTTGCATCCTGGATCTCTACTTAAGGGTGAAACAGAAGAACTCAATACTTCATCCGCTCACACAGTCATAACTTACATATTTCACTTTGCGCTGTTACTGAAACCGCAATTTAGAAAACAAAGTAAAAATATATATACAAAATATTTTTATATCAAATTATCTTCATTACACTAAATAAACCCAATCCCACAATACTATGATACATGAAAAACTGTCCTACAAGGGATATCAAGACTGACAAATCTCCATAGCAACCAGAGCAGCCTTTGGTTTTTAAAAGCGTTTTGCAAAATAAAGAAAACTGTCAGCACATGGCCGGGTCATTCACACTTGAAAAATGCTTTCCAGTCTAAAAAATTACAAAATAGATTACATATGTAGAAAAAATCCCACTATAAAACAGCCCAGTCCTTTCACATCCCAGCTGCACATACGCGCTGTTCTTTGGTGTCTCCACTGTTGACTTAGGTTTCAAGTCTTCTCAAGCTGAGGAGGATATTTCTGTTTGATTGAAGAAGACACTCCTTTTGTGTTAGTGATTATTCTCTCAATGGTAGTCTCATTTAGAAACAGAATGTTCTTTCTCTCAATGCACGATTTCACTTAATTTTTGCTTGAATATCCTAGTTGGCAAAATTCAGAGACTCTTCAAAGTTTTGTTTTCCATATGTTTTAAATCTACAGAAATCAATTTTATGTATGTATGTGTACATCCACACACAGATATATTTTCCTTATTGACTTGTTCTCATCGCAATATAAATTGTCCACCAGCAACTGTGATTTGAAATGAACCAAATAAGAAGCTTTGAGTCTCTCCATATGAAAAGCAGCTTCCATCGCAAAGGAACACTGAACTCTAAAGCAAACAAGGTTAGGTTTTAAAACTAAACTATAGGTTTAGTTTTACACAGGAAAAACTTCAGCAAAACTTCAGAAAAAGAAAAATCCAAATTAGTTGTAAAGAGCACTGGGATGCTTTCCAGCAGTACTTGGGGGAAAGAAAAATTTCTGATTACAGTGTATGCATTGCAATTTTAAAATAGTTTAAAGAGCCGGGCATGGTGGTGCACACCTTTAATCCCAGCACTTGGGAGGCAGAGGCAGGTGGATCTCTGTGAGTTCAAGGCCAGCCTGGTCTACACAGTGAGTTCCAGGACAGCTGGGGCTACAGAGAGACCGTCTCAAAAAGACCAAAACAAAAAAACAAACAAAAAAATAGTTTAAAGAATCGCCTTAAATGTATACATCACGTAGAACACTGCATTTTTCACTCTGGAGACTGCTGGCATCAGATACACAGGCAGAGCACGTGCATAAAGTGCCCCCTGTCACTCTGAAAAGCACAAAGAATTTTCCAGTACTATAGACATTTAAAAAAAGGTTGCTTCATGGGGCTGAACAGATTTCCAAGTTTTAACATGTGAATGACTGAATATATCTCAAGGGTTCTCAGCAATTCTGGACTGAACTGGTCAGGCCTGTCTGGAATGATGCAGTCTAGGAAGCATACAGCGTTGGCTTTTTGAGGCACAGCTCTTTCACTGCGCCCACGTTGGAGCTCACTTCGGGGAAGCAAGGCACTTACTGAAATGGTAATGCAGACATTTTGTGCATAGTTTGCATAACATAAAATAAGTTAATATTTTTGATTAAAATGAGTTTTTTAATATAATTTATGTGTCTTTTATAGAAGCAACTAAACAATACATTTAGGATAGTTGAACTTAAGAGGAGGGCTGGATGGGAGTCCTCTTCACCTCTTCTTTGGCTCTTAGGACAAGGACTTAGGCAAAAACACTGATGTGCTCAGCATCCACCGGCCACCCTCTAGAAATGCTGTGCCAGGGGAACCTTGACGGTCTTTACTTCTGCTATGTGGGACGACTTCTGGATGATGCAGCTGGTTGTCCCCTGCACTTGGTCTTTTCCCTGTGCAAGGTTTGTCAAGGCCATGGCTGCATTGATTTCCTTCCAGTACGTGTCATCCTTGCTGGGTCCCATTCTGTTAGCTGCACTGCATTATACAAAAGACAAGAAAGAAGATCAAACCCACTGGAGTGTGTACTGGTCATGGCATCACCGCAAAGCACGCACATGGCTAATGAAGTTTGTTTTGCTCACCTGTCACCTTTACTGGATCCAATGTCCAGAGAGTCTGTGAAGAGAAGCAAAAATCGATCACTTGTCTCTTGGTTTTTCTTTTTTAAGACTTACTTTATTTTTATTTATATGTGTGTGTGTGTGTCTATGAGTGTATGCTACATATGTGTAGTTGCCCTTATAGGCCAGAAGAGGGTCTCAGCTCCCCTGCGACTGGAATTGCAGGTGGTTCTGAGCCATCCAACGTGGGTGGCTGGGAACTGAACTTGGGTCTTTAAAGCAGCAAGTGCTCTGAACTGCGAGATTTTCTTTGTTAATTTAACTTAGGAACTTCATTATTAATTGCTAAGAATAAATTTCACCTGGAAAGATGGTTGAAAATTATAATTAGATCAGACAGCTTACTAAGATGGGAGTGATTAACTTGCTGTAGGAAGTTGGGCTTTCAGGAAGCACTGTGCTGTGAAGGGTGCTGACTGCTGGGTCAGGAGTTCTTGTCTCTCACCTGCTCTGTGGCTATAGGAAGATTTCTATGTCTTACAAAGTGTAAGATTTACTTTCCTCAATTACAGAATAAGGACTTCCTTAGAAGCTGTTGAAACTTCTCAGGTGGTTGTGAGCCATCCAACATGGGTGGCTGGGAACTGAACTTGGGTCCTTAAAGCTGCAAGTGCTCTGAACTGCTGAGATTTTCTTTTTTAATCTAGATATCCTATAATCTCTTGAGACTCAAATCTTGAGGAAGGCAGGGGCAGGGGTATGGGAAAAGGCTGGCACGTTATTGCCCTCGGTTAGTTAGCAAATGAGTAAAAGGCCCAGTGTTGACAGCAATGTGGAGCTCCTGGCACATTGAAGAAACAAATACTTGTCTTTAGTGTTCAAAAGAACTCCTGGCCCTGCTGGCATGGGAAGTGGGGGAGAAGGCTAGCGTGTGCACATACACTCTCCACCCTCCATACCATTTGCTCCCTCCCCCGGGATCACTAACATCTCCCCACACCATGAAGGTATGATGAAAGATGGAAATGGGTTCTGGGCATTGGTTGGCTCCTTTGCCTAAAGGACTATGGCATGGGGAACACGAAAGTTGATTTACTGCAGGGAAAGATGTGTGGGGTGAAGAGGATTACCTACAAGGTATAAGGAGTGGGGTGGGGCAGGCTGGGACTCCCTATAAGCTCAGGAGACTCTGATCTTGGTAGTGGGTAAGCCTCATCACCGCCCACAGCAACAGTAAACATTGCTAGGTAGCTAAACACGCTGATGTACAAGAAGAACCAGACAGTTTACATTTGCTCAAAGCTTCTTTTTCTTCCTATGATCTTTGCAAAGCTGTCCTTCCTTGACTTCAGTCCTTCCCTTTTCATTGTAGTCTAACCTGGGCAATGTTTTACAGCACAGAGATGGATGACCAGGAGAAAGTAACCACATGGCTGTCCAAGGTAGCCAAGTGTTGAGCTAGTTTTACAGCCCTAAGGAGCCAGGGAACTTGAGGGCATAAAAAAGAAGACAAATAAGCAAAACAAGAGTGAAGATCCCACAAAGCTGTTCTGAGGAAGGAGAGGGATAATGTGCATTTTGCCCTAACTGGAATGATGCATGTCAGTCCCTTCATGGGAATGTTGAGGTAGTGTTTTATAGGGTTTGGGGGGCTGTCAGCCTGGAATCTTCTGACCCTGCTGGGCTGGCCTGGACAGTCAGAGCTCCACCTCTGCAGTGATAGATTATTTGGAGTTATACAATTACTCACGGAAATGGAGGAAAGCAACAATAAGTTTTAGCCTGCAGAACTCCAATGATCTCAATTTATAGATGACTTTCTATGTTCTGAGCTTCTGCACTGTTGCGTATTTGAACTTGTTTTTTTTTTTTTAAATTCTATTATTATTTATTTAGAGGTGTGTGTGTGTGTGTGTGTGTGTGTGTGTGTGTGTGTGTGTTGCACC